AGAAAAGATCGTCTTCAAATTCAATAGTTTGCTAAAAAGAAATTTTATTTTGAACTGAGTTCCCTTATTTTTGTATTGATGGATGGCTCACCCCTTTTTCATTAATTTGGTATAGCCCTTGTGGAACGTATATGCAAATTTTTACAGGTGCAATTTTTTTTCATCAAGCGATAACTCCCCCTCCCCGCAACGCCCATTTAGAAATATTTAGAGTGCCCGCGACTTCTATATTCCTCTATTTTTTAATAATATTCCTGTATTAAATATTTAATATTTGATATTCCTCCATTTAATAAATGTAGCCATAGAGGGCGGGCTTTCGATTAGTGCGGCGAAATTAACTTGTCCACTGATAATAACCCCACCAGGGGCGGATCCAGGAATTTTACCAGTATATTATTACCAGTATATTTTTTTGGGGGTGTCACAGTGGGGGGAGGGGGGGGGGGTTGCATTAATTTTAATTAGTTTCTATGACAAAAACAATTGACAGAGCTGGGGGGCGTTTTGACCCCCAAACCCCTCCCCCCCCCCCCCCCCGAATCCATGCCTGCCCACCTCCGCCCAAAAAAATGGAGACAGCTTAATTTAATTTTACAAAAACATTTTTTAGGGAATATCGAAGGGAAGTCAAACAAAAAGTGCGTTTTGTTCTTAAAGTACAGTTGTTTATTGGTAGTGGGGCCTACACAAGTATCATTAATTCATGAAAGGGGATGAATTGAAGAGGGGGTGTTAATAGGTAAAGTTCTATTTTTTGTTCATTGGGTGCTAGAAAAATATTTGTAAAAGGCTTTTTGTTTTCAAATAAGAGTCACCGTGGTGTCGCTAAGCCCACAACAGCAAAACACAACAGGTCCACAACAAAACAATGTAATCAAACAACGATTCATTCAAGACAACTTCAACTTATTTGAAGATGTCCTGAAGTAATCAAAGAAGCTGTCTTGCAGACTGAAGTGGGGGCCACTAGAAATGCCTTTAAGATTAATCCACCAGGGAACAAGTGAAGACGACTGTTTTCAACACGAAATTGTAGTCTATTCATCCCCGCCCGTTGCCACTTTATAATACAAAGAAAGAGAAGAAACACTGCCCCCCCCCCATAAATGTGATCTAGCCCCGCCCCTCCACATAAGGAATTAGCAACAACTGGCCTGTCGGTGACCCTTTTCTTCAATCCCCCAACAATAAATGCTTCTGATCCATCAGTGATTTAGCTGTCAACTCATTGTTTTTATTGCATGAAGTAAATTTGTGATTGGGTTGATATAATTTCTAAGGAATTTCTTTTGATATCCTCATTATGAAGCCTGCATGCATGGGCGTCGTGAGGGGGGGGGGGGGCAAGGGGGCACTCCCCCCCTCCCTCCCTGGAAAACGGGGGGGGGGGGGGAGGAAAAGGGGAGGGGGGTAAGGAAAAAGAGGTGCGAAGCCATATTGCTGTTAATTTAATTTGATGGGGGGGGGGTAGGGCAAATTCTCCCCTGCTGACGCTCGGAAAAGTGATAAATTGAGAATTTTGGGGAAAAATTTGTGTAGACGCCCATGCCTGCATGCCTGATTACAAAACCCAAGTGGTGACCCAGCTGTAGAATTCAGAGGCGGGAGATTGGTCCATCACTGAGGGAGGAATGGAGGCATAACACAACAATCATCTAACCTCAAAGATTTCTCCTTGATTGACTCAAGTCATTGCATGCAATGATTTATTACATGATAATAATAATACAAAGTACACAATGTCATATAAAAATCCCGGACGTCTTAAACTTTGCCCAAAATATCTGGAAAAACAAAAGAAGAGATCAGAAATGTTTTTGCACCAATAACAAATAATACAAATGACTTACAAATTCCAACATTTCTCTACACATAGTTAACCAATAAACTTACTTCCGCCAAACAGTGCAAATATCAGATATATAATTTTTATTTTCAAGTTAATCCTAAAGGGGCCGGGTTATTTTGACCATCTCTCAGCCGGAAGGGGGGGGGGGGGCGGATTCCGCCCCCCCTAAGATCTCGGCCATCGAGTGACGAACAATTTTGAAACTCGGCACATGCATAGAGCAACTCTTCCTAAACATACCCAAGAAATTTCATGACTATAGGTCAAAGGGTTTTGGAATTATGGCTAATTAATTATTCATATGTACGAATGGCAATTCTGCTCTGTGTACACGACGTTTATGCAAAAATTCAGTTTTCACGGCGCATAGCGCCGGAAAAGTTTTTGCTACGCGGCAACCCGTGGTCCGATTTTTATGTTTTTGGTATCAAAAGATGCGCAAAGCTCGAGGCTAAAAAGTCCTAACAGCTCGGGTCGCGAAATTTTTTTTTTAGAGGCTATCACGGAAAATGTTGAGGGGGGGGGGCATTCCGCCCCCCCCGGCCCCTTTAGGGTTAAGACAAGATAAGTTTGCGGTAGCACCTTGTGAATAAATCTCTTTTGTGAGTATGTGTGGTTCTGAAAAGAACTAGAGGGACTTAATGTTTCGAACAGTTTGCTCTCGATCTGCCCATCGTCAGGAGAATGAGGGATTCCAACGATGATGAGATGTTATACGGATGGGTGCAGGGAGGCATGAAAAGGATGCAAACTGGTGAAGCTCGAAACCGGTGAAGCTGAGAAGGATGCAAGTTGACTGATTTATTCACATGGTGCTACCGCAAACTAATCTTATCGTAGTATCTTTCCACCATGCAAACTTTCAAATCTTGTTTTTAAGTTAAATAAACAAATTGACTGTAGCAGGATGACTGTTCCGGATTACCGTACCGGAACAGGAATCCGGAGGTCACAGGGTCAAACCAGCTCCAGTCAATTTCTTTGTTCAACTTTCACGTTATTATAATGCACCGAGTCAGTTCTCCTTTGTGGTTTATTTTTATGACAGAAACCAAACTATCCAGAAGTCAGCAGATTATCTTGACTTAGAGTCCGTGCCCGAGTGATGACCTTATCTTACAGAGTTGCAATTTAATGATCACAAGATACAAATTACAATTATGTAGTTTGTAAACCATGGCTTAAAGGCATAGGAACATTTGTATTTCGTGCAATTTGTTTGTTTCCAATATATGTAATATTATCACTGTTCACAGAAGAATACTCTAAACCTAACATGTTGAAGCTTTGGATATTACACTTTTCAAGAAAAGAGTGAAATATCCATGCACAAACTTTTGATCAATAAACGCGATTTCGTCCATAGAACTCTTATTTCAAAAATCAGTCAATTGACTTGGAAATCACCTACATTTTTTTATTTCTTCTTAATGACAGCAAGCCAGATGGAATAATTTCACGGGGTGTTTAGTACCAGTACGATCTTTAATCCAAGTGAGCTTTTTGATTACAATTCGGTAGGTTACTTTTGGGATAAATACAAATGATCCCATCCCATATCCCTTGAAATATGTAAATTAATGAGTAAAAAAATCCCCGTCATTTAAAATTGCACTCAGTTCAGCTTCGTAAATACAGTGTTTAAATCTCATTTTAATCAAAATCTTGTCATGCCAGCAACAACAGTTAAACATTTTAACATTCAGTTTTCATTTCCAATGTGAATAAATCAAAATGTTGATTCAAAGTATACTTTTTCTCTCCTGCAGAACTGCTTTTACCAAATTGAATGGTTGCCTTTGGGCATGTTATAAACGACTGTTATCACCTGGGCAACTGCAAAATATCAAAACTGTTAGAAACAAAAATGTAAGTTTTTGTACAGAATATTGATCATACTTGGAACAAACCAATCTAGTGTCAATCAATACTTTGAAGAGGCTTGCAATGATAAAAACAAGCAAATTGTCCACTTGCACCTATTTCAACACAATCAGAAACACAGAAACATTTGCGCGTATACAACAATTGCAAACGATTGGTCCTGAATGAGCAAACATGACTGTCCTCTGACAAAAATGCATCATTTGACAATGCAACATTCTACATGTATATATTATACATGAATTGTTTGACAGTATGAACACTGGTTTAGTAACTCTCAATATGGACATAGGCCTATAGTTGAATAGTAAACAAAATCCATGTTATACTGTCCTTACACAACTGGACCACTTTAAAAGTATATTACATAAACAGTCAAGGTTAAAGATCTATACACAAGTTAGCAAACTGGAATCATAATTTTTGTCATTTTATGCATAATTTACATTAATTTACACAAACGATTTGATAAAGAATGAAGCACAAACACTAAAAAGAAACGTCTGTTTGAAAGGCGTGAAGTTGCGAGAATTTTCTGAATTTGTACATAAGGCAAACGCTAAACAATTCCAAAGTACCCGAGGTTTGGGGTATTATGCTGTATACTAAGTTTTGCACAGCACTGGTCTATGGAAGGGTGTCGTGCAGCCATTTGCATGTGGTCACATTAGTTTGTTGGAATGCCATATTACTACATTGATCGGATAACAGGGTAGGAGGAGGCCTTTGTCACAAAAGTTGAAGACATCTCACACAACTTTTCCCTAAGATGATGCGATACAAGATAATTTTCTCAAAAGAAATGGAAAGGAGAGGTGGATTCTCCTGTTTAATTGACGATTAGATTGTAGATTTATAATAGTACTCAGAGGTCACCCAAGATACAAGGTAAATTTAATATCACTTTCAAGTGACACCCAGAGTGCTTAGTACAGTGCTATTATGTTTGAAGATTTCAATGAATCATTTTGTACAGGAATTGTTGATTGACTTTTCACATTGATTGATTGATTGATTAATTGATGGATTGAATAATTTTTTTTTGGGGGGGGGGGGGCTGGGGGTTCAGTAGAATGAAGAACTATGCTTGGTATATTTGTATTCATAATGTAAGAGGATTTGGAATACATCTATTTGTATTGAAACCTTTTTGTTGACTTTTTCATTCATTATTGAGCCCCTTATTGTCCTTTGTACGCAACAGTTTTTGTTGTAATTGATTTGTTTTTGTTTTTCGCTTTTTAGTCATTTCTGTCTGTTGGGGGGGGGGCGCAGAGCATTGACTTCACATAAAATGACCCATAATACGAGCTTCTTGTTTCAATTTAATGTGCCTCGTGAGAGTGGTGCATTCATAGGGAACATGGTGAGAGTTATGACTTTGTAGGAGATTATTTAGGTCTTAAGAGGAGTGTTCATGAACACTCCTCTTAAGACCTACCCGACCAACCATATAGGCCACTGAGTTTTGGACACACCATTTTGGAGAGTGATTATCTTGCTGGGACTGTGGAACTTATTAAGGGGAGTTTTGTTTACTTAAGGGCTCCCCAGGGGCTCCCAACAGAGGTCATAAATGGACTGTGAAAATAGCCACTTTCTTTTGTTTCCTTCAGGTAAGGGAGATCTTGACTGACAACTTGTCTGACAAGCTCAGCATCGAGGCCGATGTTACAAAGACTCAACGAACCGAACTTTGGGAGACTTTGGAGATGACGAGTGAGAGCCCTCACTGCATCCAAACTGAATTCATTGCCATTAAGGGAAAGCACCAATAAACCATGCCCAGCAGGAAAGATGCTGATCAGGTCCTTCACATCATCATCGACCAACCTGCATTCACTGAGGAGCAAGACTTTAAGGGATGACGAGATGTGGCTAACATCTCCCATCCGTGCATGCAGGTCGGTGACATACAGTCCGAGAGCACTCAACCTGCATCCTTCCAGTGTCTTCAATAGATCAATAACCTCATCCGGTGATCGTTGGATCATAGTCAAACCAAGCCATCGTATTGGTTCCCGTATGTTGAAAAAGCAGTGTGATACACGCCCCACGTCAAACCATGACTTTGCCTCAATAATAACCGCAATGTGTAATCGAGCAAGGTGCTGTTTATCCACCACACCAAGTGTTTTCTCAAGGAGGCTAAGCTCCTCCTTCTCCTGCTCAGATAAGAAGTAGGTAACATATATCATGCCTGAGTTCATGCTGTCACTCGGAAGAATTCCCCTTGAAAGGGTCATTAGGTCCTGCATTCTTACATGCATGTTAAAAGCTGTATCTTTAAGTGGTGGAGTGACATGCTGTAAGTAGTAACTCAGTGATTTCATGTCTTCATTACTCTTGCAGTCTACCCGAGTTGGTCTGACAAGTTTGGTAGCCAACTTCTCAGAACCTGACTCATACAATAGCAACCGAGCCAATCCCTGCAGTTCCCCCTCATCACCTTGCATCTCTTGTATGTGATCCAGAATTAGACCAGCTGCCTGCCTTGATTTACCGCAACAAAATCTCAGCAGGTATTCCATCGCAAGAACATTGCCTTCTCCAATCTGCTTCAACTGATGACGGAAATGGTTTTCGTCATCTTGTAGCAATTTCACCAGGTGACATGCTGCAAAGTATTCTTGGATGGACTTGTGGGGGAAAGTGACCAACACCTTTACATCCAGACCACACGTGAACGTTTCACGTTGAACGAAACCCACACGACAACCCTCAGCTAAGGAAGACTGACAATTCTGAAATTCAGTTTCATTGAACATGAGTCTTTCCCCACTAGAGTCTAGTAACCCTTGCAATGCAACACGCCCCAAGTCGTCAATAATGGACATCCTGATGGACATCATATGCTGATCACCCATTTCTTCATTGCGGCGAATGAAAAGAACCTCTGCAAACTTTGCAAACAGCTCAGTAATTCTCTCAGGCAATGACTTTTGATTCTTCCAAACAAGGCACATCATCTGGGAAATGATTGGAACTTTTGACACTTCCCAGAGATGTTGATTGGTTTTCAGATTTGAAACCAACGCCTCTCCCATGTCAGCATCATCAGGAAGGTTTAATCTGATGTACTGATCTCTGTTTTGTGGATTGAAGCCAGTTGTCTCCACCAGGGCATACTTTGGGTGACCCCTAAGTATGTACTGTTTCATGTGTGGTCGGGTGGTAACCAGCACAAAACCTTTAGTAAGGACTCTGTTGTGTAAGATATCCTGAACCCTGTACACGCCCTCCTTAGATTGCAAAACATGAGATGGAATTTCATCTACTCCATCCAACAACAAAGCAATGCGTGATTCGTGATCAGCAATAAACCCTTTCACTATGGTTTTCGTCAATTTGGTGTCTTGAGCTAGAATTTGGTCAAATATGGCATCCAAGACACAACTAGATTGCTGCATTTGCCTCAGCTTTATCCAAAGTACAAGATCGAATCTATCAAGAAGGGGTTTTGATCTAAGTGTGATGGAGGAGTTTGCAACCTTCACTAACAGGGTTGATTTACCCGTCCCGGCCCCACCAATAAGAAGAATCTTGATTTCCTTAACTTTTTCCTGATTGAACAAATCATCCAAGGAATTGAGAATGTCATATAGATCTTCATCTAAGAAAACCTTTCCTTCTGGTAATCTCAGCGGCCTCACTGATTTTGTTTTGCCTGGAATGTTCTTCATTAGATGGAGAGGAACAAAGAATTCCTCAATACCCACTTGACGTGACTGCAGTGTAGGGTGTGCAGGGATAGTCGTTGCAGTTTGCTTGTAGCTGTCGATAATTTCCTGTTGCAAACCTTCAAAGGTACCCGGCCCCTGGAGTCCGGTGATTTCTAAAAGACATCATCAAATTAGTATGAATAAACTATTTATTAAGTATACATAAACATGATTAATAACAATTCTTTCAAGCTGCAATTCATCAAAACCGAACATCTGGATACCCAGTTTTCGACCTATTTTTTTTCTTCTGTAAACAGGGTTTATTTTTTTACCTATATTCCGTAACATATTCGATTGGTTAAGTTTCCAATTACATGCAGTAAAATGTACACTGAAAAATTTTGCCTGGGATTTAAATTTACGTATCCAGATTTCGTTTTTAAAGGGTCTATGTGGTGATTTTTTCTTATTTCTTCGGCACATAATTTGTGCAACTTTCTACTCCCTTAAATGTATGAAAACTATTTGACATCCCTTTTGATTGAAAAGTGCACTTCTGTTAAACACTTAAAATGTTCCATGCTTTTCCGGACAACTGAGGGCGCTGTTGCTGTGATGTCATTCCAGGAAGACACTGTTCAGTTGAGGGGTTTTCTGTTCAATTAGGCACCCATTATTCAGTCATTGAAAACATTTTTGAGAAGCTCATTGGCTTAATGGCATGTAATGACACAACAACAAATACCCAAAGAAAATTTACTTTGAAAAATGTTTTTGATCTCTTCCCCTATTAAGGTGCATATTTTCAAGTCCCACCTCTCGAGAACTACAAGTACAGCTTAGTAAGTCATGGAACTATGTTCAACATATAATATGCTAAAACAGTACACCATCCTTCCCCTGCCGCCCCCCCCCCCCATACATTAACACTTGATTTAAGATATAAAAATACTTTATCGTATTGAACAAGATTGTATTTACCTGGCCGTCCCTCCAACGGCATGTTGTGATAAGTGATATTAACTCGACTTGAACCAACAATGACAGGGCTCTGGCTACCGCTGATTGCCCCGATGCTTCCTATGCTGGCTCCAATTTGTTGTGGGTAATCTACAATCAAAAGCGAGAATTACAATATCCTTCAATTCAATTCAATTCAATAATTAGGGAATAACAGTGTGAGGACCCGGTCTTCACTGCGTGACAAAAAATGTGTGGGGGGATGGCTGCTGTTGAAGGTACCATACAGTCCATCATTTGTAATTTGTGCATTATGTTCATTTGAAGTTTGAAGCAACAAAAGTGCTCAAAATCTAAAGAAAGGTGCTGAACAACTAACCTGATGAAGTTTCAGCTCAGTGAATGCTGTATATTCAGAGTTAAACAATATTCTAGGATCTCGATGTCAAATCAAAAGTTGCTGAGTCATGTTTTGAATTATGCCCGAATTCAGCGTTCTCATTTTGCAGCCACGCGATGACACGCACTAAACCGACAAATTATAACTACAGCGCGCGCATGTGAGTCTTGTCAACACTTGCACGTGCTTCACCGAATTAAAAACGAACCACTAATGCAAATTTAGTCCCATTACTATCTTTCACCAAGTATGATTTTCAACAACAATTTTGTTAGTTACTTTTTGGATGGCTGCAAATGATGGACTATAGCTTGAATGGATTGAGCCAAAAGAAACAGTTAAAATACTCTGAATTTGTGACTTTCTTTTGGCGATATTTCCAGACTTTTTGTATTCATGTTCAGGGGCCATATTTAGCTTATGCAAGGTACATTTTCTTTTCAAAATGTGTTGTTATTATTTTTGTTACAACCTTCACTCGGGAGGTAACACATTAAATATACATGTAGTGTTTACAATGTACATGTAGGTCTATATGTTGGCGAAGGGCAAAAACCTAATATTGGTTTAAAATATTATTAAAATACACATTTTAACATTTGGATATGATCTAGAATTAGTGTCCAAGCAAAATGGCAGCCACCGTGTGACATAACACATAACTAATGACCCAACAAAAACTTCATTTTCACCCTCAAAACAGCCACAAAATTATCAGACACCCCACCTCAGATACAAGTACTTGAAGTAGAGATTGAGGATTAAGATCGAAGTAAGGTTTACTAACGATTTTGATGAAAAGTGACATTGCCCATTTAATCCCAAGAGCTCCCCTCGTCTCTGCTTTGCCAGTCAAACGAATCAACGTGTGTAAATGAATGCAAGGGGAGTTCTCGGAATTGAATGGAAAAATTCACTTTTCATCCAGATAGTAAGTAAAATTTGCCATGTGGTGACAGGGGCTAGTCTGCAGTGTGGTCCCCCTTGTTTCAGGGACTCATGCTATGCTATATATTGTGCCTAATAGCGTCAATGCAAAGGATGGAGGGGAAGGATGCTGTCAGGGAACCGATATCAGGGCCAGGGGAGTCATAACATGCAGGGTTTACAGACAAATGTATGTGTCTTACCCGGTCTTGGCTGTAGTTGCGGCGGTGGTTGTTGTGTTGGTTCCTGCTGGGAAGGCTGTCTGCTGCCAGACTGAGTCATTTGTTGATCATCCCTCACTCCATCAGCCGGTAGTTGTTGGGTTGCAGCTGCCTGACTGGCTGGTGCTGTGCTTGGACCAGCGTTAGTTTGTGTCTCACCCGGTCTGGGCTGTAGTTGTGGCGGTGGTTGTGGCATTGGTTCCTGCTGGGAAGGTTGTTCGTTACCAGCCGGTAGTTGTTGGGTTGCAGCTGCCTGACTGGCTGGTGCTGTGCTTGGACCAGGGTTAGTTTGTGTCTCACCCGGTCTGGGCTGTAGTTGCGGTGGTGGTTGTGGCGTTGGTTCCTGCTGGGAAGGCTGTTCATTACTCGACTGAGTGTTTTGTTGATCATCTGGTAGTTGTTGGGTCAGAGCTGCCTGACTGTCTGCTACTGTGGTTACGGTAAGAGCAACCCACAAACCAAATTTGAAGTTCCTAAGTAAAATATTTCTCAAGCATTCGTGCTGACAAAACATGTATTTCTATTGTTTTAGCAATATTAGTGACTTTGACCTAGCTGTTGGCCCCAAAAGCAACAGGCCTCTTTAGACTATCAAGAACAACGGACATCCCACAAACCAGCTCCTACGTAATTATTCTCAAGTTATCACATTGACAAGATTTCTATTGTTTTAGCAATAGTGACCTTTGACCTGTCGGCCCCAAAATCAATATGCTTCTTAAGACTACCAAGAACAACCCACAAACCAAATTTCAAGTTCCTTAAGTTAAGTATTTCTCAAGTTTACTTGTTGACAAGATTTCTTTTATTTTACAAATAGTGACCTTGACCTTTGACCTGTCGGCCCAACAGTAATAAGCCGTTTAGACTATCCAGAACAATCCACAAACGAAATGTCAAGTTCCTAAGTAAAGTATTTCTCAAGTTATCGTGCTTAACCAGAGTTAACAAGAGTTTTGTTTATGGTGTAAATTGAGGATTTTCTTTTGTTCCTCTTCCCTTTTCCTTTGTTAGTACCTTAACTTTTCGCAACAGCTCTCATTGGTTTGTACACATTTTTCAACTGAGGAGTCCTCGATTTGGTTTCTGTCCTCGATTCATTGATAATGTTGCGTGTGTCCTTGACTTACACCATAAACAAAATAATGCAGAAAAGACAGACCAGCAGCCGATTTCACAAAATCTTACGTATTGGCGCAACTCTGCTTGAGCCAAAATTTATAGTTGCACAACATTTCACTTATGACACATTTCACGAAAGTCACATAGTGCGTAAGTCCACAAGTTGCACAATAAATTATGATGCAACTTGCACCATCATTTTAGGCGGCCTAAGTTGTGGCATAGCGACTTAAAACGACATATTTTACGAGCAAATCAGGACTGTCACAGAGCTCGTTATTGCACAACTTATCAAGGTTGATACAAGAGGGACAAAATAATTTTCAAAATGGCGGGCTGAGGTGATCCAACAACTGCAAAATTCACACACAAACAGCCGTCGTAAATGCTGCTTTTATCCTCGACCAAGATGCTTAAATTATTTAAAGCGTTGTGCAGCTGTGCCAAGTTTTGTAAAATTGATCATAAGTTTATTGCGCAGCTGCGCAGCAAATTTGTTGCGTAAGTCTTACTCAACATGGCACAAGCTGCGCTTTTTTTTATGAAATTGGCTGCTGCCCATTGTCATGGCGCAACCAACAAAGGGTCTATAGTTAAACCAAAATTCAGGATTATATGAAATGCTATAAATTGGACATTTTTGGGATAAGAAACATTCAATTACATACCTACATTTGTATTTTTTTTAAATTATGGCAGAGTTTTTGCTTACCGTCACTGAGTCCGATCTCCTGAACGCCCGTTGCCTTGACGTCGCCCTCACTGAACAGCCTCTCAGCCTCCATATCCGACTTGGCTGTGGACTTGGCTAGATTCACCGCTGCAATGTAGTCTAGTGCAGGGGTGGGATTGTCGGAAAATAATCAGCAAATAAATGCACTGCGGATCTGCAAACATTTCAACTCATTTGAATACGTGTTCTGAATTATTTCAAATTAGCTTCAGATTCACATTTGAGATGCTATCAACCTAAATGAGTCGTTTGTTGGCAATTATTATTATCAAGCCCAAAATATTCAGTAGGGGTAAAAATTTCAAAATTGACTTTTTTTGTAAAATCGGAAGGCTACATATGTCCTCTTTCATGTCAACTTTTTTTTTCCTGAGAAAATATCACGATGACGTATCTAAAATGTGACATTTTTGCTGAGAAGTTAATATTCACTAACCTGAAATAAAGCATGTTTATTGTTGTGTAAAAAACACTTTAATTTTTAATCGTTGATTTCTCTGTTTGATTTCTCTGTTTCCTTCTTTCTGATCTGCTTGTGTTCTAAGTCCCATAACTTCTGAACCGAAGGTCGCATTCACTTGGGGTTTTCACCAAATGTAAACTGAAATGCAGCTCTATTCAAAAAATGTAATTAAAAACAAGTGATCGCATGACATATTTGTGCATTTGGCCTGAAGACTGCTGACCCACCTGCCACCATTTTCTTGTGTTTCTTGTCAATCTTGAGGATTTCTTGGTAAGTCGTAACAGCCGCCTCGTAATCCTTCAGTCCCTGCTGGGCCTTGCCAAGGTGCACCAATGCTTTGACGTTGTTGGGTTCCAACTGCAAGGCCGTCCGGCAGTCCTCCATTGCCTCTGAAAACTTTTCCAATTTGTTGTAAGTCTTGGGGAGGGGGAAATAAGTGAAAAGAGGGGATTCAAATTTGCCGCATAGTGATCAACGAAGCGTTGTGTGTCTCAACAGGATAACAGGTGTGTCGTCTGGGGTTAATCGTCTGCCTTATGTGCAGTACTACAAAAACATACATGTAAGATGAGTTGCCCCCCCCCCCCCTCCCAAAATGATATGTTTTCTCTTAATTTTTTCCCCTTGATATGAAAACTTTTCAGGAAATAAATTAAAACGTTCATGACGTTGCGTATCTCTCTCACAAGCCTTCCCCTCCACTTACCTCTATCCACCCAGGAGTACACATGTAAATGAGTAAGGGTATTAGTTGGGGAGCAACCTACAATGATCCAGGGGGAATAGGAATATTCTCAGTCATTTCAAGAATACGGAGATCTAGGCTCGTAACAGACTTGACTTGACTTGGAGCATGTTTTGACGGCCCTTGAACTGGAACATGTTTCTGATGTCACAGCCGTGACCTGAAACAGGTTTCCTGTGCACCGCGAAAACGACTGACCGAAAAAATTGTTCATGACATCATGTTACTGCCTACGTGACTGCACACAACCCCCCCCCCAAAAAAAAAATCATGCGGCGTCCGGACATGATTAACAATAACATTCAAAGCAAAAGTGGGAGGTTATTTTTAAAGCATTTCCCCAAAGTTCTAAAAAGAGTAGGCCTGATATTCTGTATCAACTTTCGTACCAATTGAAAGTAAAAACCCACTATTTAAACCCCATTTATGGTAAAAAGTAACGTCGTCTGCAAGGCTTCTTCACCTTTCTGCCATCTTGAAACGTAAGTGAACCGACCGGAAACCTTGGTTCAACTTTGTTCGAAACAATGACGTTATTTCAGTGTAACCGTAGCGCCAAAATGGCCGCGAACCAGAAACATGTTTACGGTCACAGCGCCAAAACGTGCCCTTGTTTACCTGTGCCCTGTTGGTGTACAGCACCACAAAGTCTTTTAGACGTTCCAGGCCCTGCGTGTAGAGTTTAACGGCTCGTGTGTAATCACCCTTGTTGAACGCTTGGTTCCCTTGATCTTTCAGAACCGTTGCCTCTGCTTTACGCTTCTCTGTGCGCTCGCTGGCGTCTGCTTCCTGGGCTCTCTTGACATTATCTGAAAATAAAGTTGATCACACATTACATAAAAGGACAGAGTTTTCTACAGTATAATCCCCCGTTAACCCTAAGGCCAAAACAAAGTCTCCAGTTTCTGGTATGGAGCTTGCCCCAAAAGTTGTGCAGTGACGCAGGTTGTTTTTCCCCCCACTTTTTTTTCTTCAAATGTCAGCTGATATGTTGCAGATGACACTTTATCCCCTTAAAACTCTCTGAAAGATTTTGCAGGATTGAGGCAGTGGTCACCCCTCCAAGGACCACATAAATAACAGAGCATTTTGCAGGATTGAGGCTGTATGCAATTTTTACATGAAAGCAGTTGGAGGATTTTGCAGGACTGAGTTTGTATCCTAGCAAAAACGCCTAGGGAGTTAGGATTAATACAAATACTGCTAATACAAATTCTGGTAATGGGCAATTGAACCTCATGTCAGTATTGAAAAGAGCTTTTAAGAGCTCAGTGAATAAACCCTTACGAAAATGTCCTGTGGTATTACCACACAAAAGTACCACAGGACATTACCACAGGAAAGTTCTTGTGGTTTTTTGGGATATTACCACAGCACTATTCCTGTGGTAACATTCCTGTGGTACAATTCCTGTGGTAACAGTCCTGTGGTACAATTCCTGTGGTAACAGTCCTGTGGTACAATTCCTGTGGTAACAGTCCTGTGGTACAATTCCTGTGGTACCATTCCTGTGGTAATATTCCTGTGGTAACATATTCCTGTGGTAACATATTCCTGTGGTAATACTGCTGTGGTACTTGTGTGTGGTACATTCCTGTGGTAATGTTCCTGTGGTAATGTTCCTGTGGTACATTTGTTATTATTTCTGTGGTAAATGTTCCTGTGGTACGTTGATATTATTCCTGTGGTAAATGTTCCTGTGGTAACTAAATGTTCGTGCGGTGCATTTGTTATCGTTCCTGTGGTAAATTGACCATGGTATGTTTTGTGGCAATGATGCCGAGGGGGGGGGGGGGGGGGCAATGTTCCTTTGTTAGTTTCTGCAGTACCTGTTCCTGCAGCTGTGGTATTAATGTATATTTGATAATGTTCCTGCGGTATTAATGTTCCTGTGGTAATTGCTGGATGGGATTCCATTGTTTCCACTTGAACGGGATCCTTGAGGTAGAATATCCATGGTTTCTTCTTCACATGTACCAACATCTTTGGTGGGAATTAAGTCACGAAAGCTGGAAAAGAAAAGAAACAAACTTGTTAGTTTTTATGAATCAATATGGTGTTCAACAAAGGAAAAAAATGTTGTAGTTGCAGTTGTAGTTTAGTTGCAGTCAAACTCAAAAACATTTTTGTACATTTCTGTAATATACGTTTCATATTAAAAAAAAAAAATTGAACAGTCAACGTTTGTAATAATACTAAAGAGTGCATGCAACAACTAATCACTTACGTATGGAATATTTGAGGTAACATCCTCTGAATTGATTATTAACTTGTGTGTAATTTACGAAGGAAGAAGTTAAACCAGGAGAGTAATTTCCCATAGTCATGAGCAGATGGTGTTACTGAAATTCGTACAATTAAGTTCCATACTTGATATATAAAGTAATGAGTTTGCATTTAACTTTTACTATCTTAATGTTTGGTATCATTTCATGAACAATATCTTCTTACCCCTTTTAAATTCCCAGTCAAATCACTTGAAGACAAAGTTTTCCAATCTGACACAAAGAACACAAACAGTTTATACTTTTGATGAGGTAGATCTGATAATAAAGATGGCGCTGAACAAATACAGCATTGTCATCAAGTCATATGTGACACGGTTTATAAAGAGCATGGGATTTTTCAAAAAAGCTTCCATATTGAATGTGCGAGGATACAAACTGTCCAGACTGGAATTGATTCTATGAAGTTGTAATGGGAATTCCTAACTGATCCACATAAATGTCTTGAAACAAATTCCTACATTGGCACTAGCTACAGACATCATAATTCAGACTTACCGGTACATTAGACAGCTAGACCATGACGTACTGCAAGACCCATTCAGCATGACTCGATCCACTCGGTCCAGTTTTCATCATCCAGAAAACTTAACATACCTCCTACCATAGTATGTTCAAGCTCACAGTAACACAGTATATTATACTGGCAATTGATCTTTGCTTACAGGCAGAAGTGGGGCGCTTAATTTCATACAAATATTCAGTTTTGAATTCTGCCATGTCCAGCCCCATGCACATCTGTACTGCTTCTTGTATGTAGTGCTGTGATTCAAACTGTACTGGTTTTCAAACTTCCCGCACACTCAGTGCAGTGGAGGAGCTGTGTGGGTGACCTTTCGTGAAACCTGACCCCTGCATGGTTAATACACTGTGTATATGGAATCACTGGTGGGTCATGCATGGGTCACACACTGCACAGGGCACACAAGGTCACACATGTGGTTGTGGGGAACAGGATACAGTGTGCCCTGCAATATACACTGTACATGTACATGTACATGTACTGTATATGTACACATGTACAAGTATGCATGGGCTTTATGTACAAGTACTAGCTGTTCAGTACATATTGGGGCAATATTTGTTCATGTATGTTTTTATGACGGTGTGTTCTTATTTGTGTTTTTGTTATAATTTATGTACACTGTATATTGGATGGTAATCTCTTTTTCTTTGGTAATTTATGTGGTAGCATAAAACATGGTTTTTTTTTTACCTCGCCTAATAGTTACATGTATATGTGCAAATTTTAAAAATATGATAGTTATAACTTTCATATTATTAAAATGTGCACATATGTAACTAAGGCGAAGTTAAAAAAAACCAAACATGTTTCTCATCCCCGCCCTTTACTATTTTTGGAGGCCGCCTGGATTTTTGTATTATTTTTTAATTTTTAAAAATGCAGTAAAAAAACACAGAACAAGGTTAAAGCATATGCAACCTGTTCATTGTAGAACAATACAACTCTAAATGACTGTAAATATGTTCAGTTCTCTTGTCCAACTTGTTTTTCATTTTAAAAGTGTCTTTGAACAGTGGACTAACACCAACGATTGCAGGAAAGTTTAAAATGGCGGCCATCTTGAAAAAAAAATAATAAAAAATAAAAAGCCCCTCTAAGCTAGCTTCCTCCTCAGTTTTTTTTCAAAATTCCGGATGAGAAACATTTTTTTTTTATTCGGCCTAAATATACATTCGGCCTAAATATATCATTTGTGTGTGTGTGGCATTTAGCATATGGTACAACGTAGAAGTACCACAGAATATCGAAGGTACCACACACAATTATGTGGTAATTCCACTGACCTGTGGTAGTTTGTGTGGTATTTAGTAAGTACAACAGAAGTACCACAGGATATCGAAGGTACCACACACATTTATGTGGTAATTCCATTGACCTGTGGTAGTTTGTGTGGTATTTAGTAAGTACAACAGAAGTACCACAGGATATCGAAGGTACCACACACATTTATGTGGTAATTCCACTGACCTGTGGTAGTTTGTGTGGTATTTAGTACAGTTCAACAGACTACCACAGGATATCGAAGGTACCACACACATTTATGTGGTACTCTCATCCAATTCCACTGACCTGTGGTAGTTTGTGTGGTATTTTGTACTACCACAGAATATCGAAGGTACCACACACATTTATGTGGTACTCTCCTCCAATTCCACTGACCTGTGGTAGTTTGTGTGGTATTTAGTAAGTACAACAGACGTACCACAGGATATCGAAGGTACCACACACATTTATGTGGTACTCTCATCCAATTCCACTGACCTGTGGTAGTTTGTGTGGTATTTAGTACAGTACAACAGACTACCACAGGATATCAAAGGTACCACACACATTTATGTGGTACTCTCCTCCAATTCCACTGACCTGGGGTAGTTTGTGTGGTATTTAGTTAGTACAACAGAAGTACCAGGATATCGAAGGTACCACACACATTTATGTGGTACTCTGATCCAATTCCACTGACCTGTGGTAGTTTGTGTGGTATTTAGTACAGTACAACAGAAGTATCACAGGATATCGAAGGTACCACACACATTTATGTGGTAAATCCACTGACCTGTGGTAGTTTGTGAGGTATTTAGTGAGTACAACAGAAGTACCAGGATATCGAAGGTACCACACACATTTATGTGGTACTCTGATCCAATTCCACTGACCTGTGGTAGTTTGTGTGGTATTTAGTACAGTACAACAGAAGTATCACAGGATATCGAAGGTACCACACACATTTATGTGCCCAGGTGAAAATTCCAGTTGAAACCAGTTGAACTGGTTTCAACTGGTTTCAACTGGTCCCAGTTGAACTGGGAATTGGTGACTGGTTTTAACTGGTTTAACTGGTATTAACTGGTTCAACTGGTATGAACTGGTTTTGAACTGGTTTAACTGGTATGAACTGGGCAACTGGTTTAACTGGTTTCTAACTGGGCAACTGGTTTAACTGGTTTCTAACTGGTTTCAAACTGGTATGAACTGGGCAACTGGTGTAACTGGTTTCTAACTGGGCCGCTGGTTGAACTGGTTTCTAACTGGTTTCAACTGGTGCCAAATCAGTTTAACTGGTATGAACTGGGCAACTGGTGTAACTGGTTTTCAACTGGTTAACTGGTATGAACTGGTTTAACTGGTATGAAGTTTCCAACTGGTTCAACTGGTTTCCAACTGGTTTAACTGGTGAACATGGTTTCCAACTGGTTTCCAACTGGTTCACAAATGACATGAGCTGTTGCCAACTGGTTTGGAACTGTGAAATCGTTTTGAATTGGTCTGTAGTTGGCATCAAACTGTCGTTAACGGGTTGAAATGGTCTTGAACAGGCGGGCTGAGATCTGTGGGTTGCTTCAAGGGCGAATACATGTAGTTTGTTGAATATATCCAAATACATATTTTGCAATTGATAATAAAGAGTGATTATCCGGAAACAAGTATTACAAATGAGACAAAGGGGAGCAAAATGTTTTGGCAAATACTGTACGTTGTATATATTTGACACTATTTACAAAATGTGTATCATCATAATCAATGAAATATTATAATTGGCTTTTCAAATAAATAAATGCAGAAGTCTTGAACCATGAAAAACTATCAAGATGGTGGTGGAAGTTATTTTACACTTGATTTTTACAAGAGTTTTTGATGGCTAGATGATTTTCCACAATCCAACTTACATGTAAATTTGAATGTTGAGGATAAAAGAGGGAAGGTTTTGGTTTGAGTTTAATGCCTCTCGTTTCATAATTAGGCCACAATCCACGCTAAAACAGTAAAGCTAGCCTATTCGTTTAAATTATGAAACTCGTCTCAATATCTCAGTGAGTAAATTTACAGGAAACTTCAATGGCTTGATAAATCCAGGGCAATTAACATTCGGTCTCAGATCATCATAATATTGACAAAAAAATGGAGAAATGTGCAGACCTGGGGAAACAGGTCCTGAGAAGCACAGAACTTTCATGTACTGGTGAAGTTTTATCGAATCAAAGATGAAAAACATCAAAGCTGTAACATTGAAGCCTTGCAGAAATAACGTCACTGTTTTGATATCCAGTTCGCGTGCTTCAAATGGTCATAACAATTACACTCCGAGTCACTTAATTTGCTGCAGATTGTTCCTATATAAACGTGCTTCTAGTGTCTCCTGAGCCTTTTCCCGTCACTGTCGCACCCGTCTCTGTTGCAAAACTCCTCTCCTCACGTATCGCTTGACTGTTCCATTGTCTCCATGGCTCCCTTTCATTGAGAACAAACCGAAAACAAATTAAAAAGTAAGAAAAGCAAACCCTCCAAAAACCCTCAAGAACAAAGATGGTCTGGGCTGAATAAGACAGCTCTAGTTGTACTTTCAGAAACCACCACTTTGTCAGGATTTTGCTTTTAATATGTTCAGTCTTAACATTATTAAAAGTAACCTGATTACTTCTGCAATGCCGAAGAAATTGTGATCCGCAATTAATTTGGATCCTAATACCACCAATATTTCATTTACCTTGCTTTATGCAATACATTCCTGATCCCTGAAATTATTAAAGGTGTGTTGTTTCTTGCATTTTATGGGAATACGACAGAATTAACCAGGAGTCCAAACTCATAAATTCCTCATTGTGATTACTTACGTTATTATGTAGGACTAGTCGTGCTAGTAAATGTAAATGTATAATACTTGGATATGACTATGAGTATGAGCTTTATTTTCTCACCAGCATGGCCAGCTGATCACAAACAAAGCTTAAGCATGTTAAGCAAATAATGATATCAAACATAAAATGTAGTACAAATGTGACAGAATCTATGCTGTACAACGGATACGAATTAAAAAAGCTGGGTATTTGAAACATTCAGTACAAACTTACCAGTAAGGCCTACAACATACTGCCAGGTTTGAAAGAACAGGGCTCCAGAAACGAAAGGTTCTGTCCAAACTATCTCCCATTCCGCAAAGACCGTGGTGCTGCAGGAATATTAACTCTGACTAATCTGTATGTTTACAGACATGTGTGATGCTTTTGGACGCGGATTTGGAACTGAATACAATACATGTAATCAGTGTTTTTTCGAGAAGACGATGTACATTTGTGCCTGCTCCGTCTTTAACCATTTTGAATGAGTAGTAGAACTGAACTGCATGCAGGCTAGCGCAATGTGGCCTAACGGTTTTTCTGGTTGAGGCAAGGTCATATTTACATGTACAGTATATGCTGTGTGCTGACCACTAGCTCAGTACGTGTGTCAAAGGGCATGAAGTGACCTTGCGCAAGACTGGACAGTGTAAGTCATATACATGTACAGTATATGTTGTGTGGAATGTACATATACGTACAATGCATTCCCATACAGTATATCGCTGCACGGGTTGGGGGGGGGGGGGAGTCTATCATATTATTGAAGCGCAACCGAGACAAACATGATGTGCAGTCTTGAATCATGTTGGCTGGTTTTCTACTTAAAATCTTCCCATTGAAATTCTTCTCTTCAGTTCTCAATTATAAGCTCCATGCAAAAAACTGAAAAACAATTAAGTGATCGACCATCTACCGCAAAGCAAAAAAATATATATAACATGAGCAACTGGCAAATAATTAACAGCTGGTAATAACTTTTCCCATTTATATGGTTCCATCAACTGGTTTCAATTGTTGATGGTCCGGGCTTTATAGCTGTTGGTTTTAAATTTCCTGTTGACACTGGTTTCTGCAACTGGTACGTTGAAGGTTTCAACTGGTCCAGAACATATGTTGACACTTGGATACCGCTACCGTGACCAGTTTGGTTGCTAATTCAACTGGTTTCAACTGGTTCCTATTAACACCACAAGAATTGCCAGTTGATAACTGGTACGTTTCTTAACACTGGTTTCAACTGGTTCCAGTTAATTGATATGGCACAACATTGCCATGGTTTCTTCAACAGGTTTCAACTGGCTGTTGACACAACAAGAATTGCCAGTTGATGAACTCTTTTTTCAACTGGTTTCAACTGGTTCCTGTTGGAACAACAAGAATTGCCAGTTGGTAACTGGTAAGTTCAACTGGTTTCAACTGGTTCTGCTGAATCCAGTTGAGCTAACAGTTGAAACCAGTTGACTCGAACAGGTACCAGTTGGACACCAGTTAATCCCAGTTAATCACAGTTAAAACCAGTTGAAATTGTAACTGGTTTCAACTGGAATTTTCACCTGGGTGGTAATTCCACTGACCTGTGGTAGTTTGTGTGGTAGTACAACAGAAGTACCACAGGATGTGGCAAATACCACACACACATATGTGGTACTTTTCTCAAATCCTACTGTTCTGTGGTACTTTGTGTGGTTCCTACATGTACCACAAGAATACCACAGGACAGCGTCGGCATTACCACATGAATTTGTGTGGTACTCTGGTCATATATACTTTTCCTGTGGTAATTTCTGTGGTAAACATATGTACCACAGAAGTACCACAGGAATACCACAGGACATTTTCGTAAGGGAACCTGACAATGTATTTTTCAAATCTTCAACATGTACAGCCATTATCTGGTAATGGTCAAGAAGACTACACAGACTAGGAGTTGTGGATCATTTCTCTGAATTGTTATTTAGTTATAATGGTTTATTGGTTTTGTCAAAATTTCACACAATTCGATAAGGGCCGACAAATGACTCATTTAGCGTGATCACATGACTTGTTTGTGCATTTGGCCTGAAGACTGCTGACCCACCTGCCACCATTTTCTCGTACTTCTCGTCAATCTTGAGGATTTCTTTGTAAGTCCAAACAGCCGCCTCGTAATCCTTCAGTCCCTGCTGGGCCTTGCCAAGGTGCACCAATGCCTTGACGTTCTTTGGTTCCAACTGCAAGGCCGTCCGGCAGTCCTCCATTGCCTCTGTAAACTTTTCCAATTTGTTGTAAGCCTGGGGGGGGGGGAAATTAGTGAAAAGAGGGGATTTAAATTTGCCGCATAGTGATCAACGAAGCGTTGTGTGTCTCAGCAGGATAACAGGTGTGTCGCCTGGGATTAATTGTCTGCCTTATGTGCAGTACTACAAAAACATACATGTAAGATGAGTTGGCCTCCCTCTCAAAATGATATGTTTTACTTTCTTTTCATTCCCTTTATATGAAAACTTTTCAGGAAATAAATGTAAACGTTGCATATCTCTCACAAGCCATCAGCAATGTGCAAATAGTGCACAGTACTATATACTTCATCCCTTTCCCCTTTTCAGAAAATCGAGCCCTCTTGGCCCCCCCCCCCCACAAAAAAATGGTTCTGGACCCCCTCCCCCTTGAGAACGGTCACATGTGCAGTCTACAATAATGGTTGTTTACTTCATGAACCCTGCATTGCATATAAATACAACGCGTTGCAAATTATCTCATATACACCACAATGCATATATTACGGGGGCGTGAAGGGTACATGTACCTCGCAACAGAGTACTGCAGCTTTTCAATATCATGTCTGGCACGAGCGAGTTAAAAACCTTTCCAAACAATTGTTGACTGCTGTGATGTGGGATATGTCATGTTTAGCACCCTCTGCTTTACCTGCAGGTGCTATGCCCCCCTCAGGTGTCATGTCCCACATCACAGTCAACAATTGTGCATTTGTCTACCTTTGGGGGAGTGTGGCATAGTGGTTAGGTTTATAGTGACTCATGATCAGAGGGTCAGGGGTTCCAATCCAGCTGCTGGTCATATGGTGTGTCCTTGGGCAAGCCACTTCACCTCCACTTGCCTCTCACCACCCAGGAGTACACGTGTAAATATGTAAGGGTATTAATTGGGGAGCAACCTACAATGAACTGATCCAGGGGGGAATAGAAATATTCTCAGTCATTTCATGAATACAGAGATCTTGGCTCAAACTAGTCCGAGTATTAAACTAGGACTCAACATCAAGATCGTTTTTTTAACATTATTGCCCGACCATGTCCAAATGTTAAAAAAAGCGATCCGTGGAGTCCTAGTTACTCGGACTAGCTCATAACAGACTTGACTTGACTTGCTTACCTGTGCCCTGTTGGTGTACAACACCACAAAGTCTTTTAGACGTTCCAGGCCCTGTGTGTAGAGCTCAACGGCTCGTGTGTAATCACTCTTCTTGAACGCTTGGTTCCCCTGATCTTTCAGAACCGTCGCCTCTGCTTTACGCTTCTCTGCGTGCTCGTTGGCATCTGCTTCCAAGGCTCTCATGACATTATCTGAAAATAAAGTCGATCGCATGTAACATAAAAGGACAGAGTTTTCTACAGTATAATCCCCCGTTAACCCTAAGACCAGCATTGGAACGCAAAGGCGCGCGCGGTTGCTACAATTCGTCGGATCAGTGCGCGACATCGCGTCAAGCTGCAATTCAAAACAATATGAAACATGATTTAGCAACTTTTGATTTGAAATTGAAATCCTAGAATGCTGTTTTTCTCAGAATATAAAGCTGAAGCTGAGCTGAAACTTCATCAAGTAAGTTGTTCAGTATCCTTCATTAGATTTTGAACACTTTTGTTGCTTCAAACGAACAAAATGCACAAATTACAAATGATGGACTATAGCTTTAATAGAGCACTGGAACGGTGATTCAGAGGTTCTCTGTTCAAATCTTATTTTAGTGAATTTCTTAACCAATCTGCTTAAAAAAAATTCAAATATAAAAAAAGAGATACGACTTTTTCGTCAACGTTGCTGGGCAGAAAGCACCGGAAAAACTAATAAAATTAAAAACTCATTCTGATTGCGATTGATTGCTGTGTCTCAGATCAAAATTAGAAATACGCTGACTCATCAGGGGATGGGTAGCAGGAATGTCTTCAACTGCTGGTGAATATGTCCCTTCTAAAATGGAAAAAAAATGAAAACAGGTTGGTCTCCAACCCAACCACTGCCAGCTTTAAACACTTTTTATTACTGCAAGCTGGAATGAATGCCTCCAAGCGAGACAGGATCATTACAATCTTGAAACTTTGACAAATCCACTGTCTGAAAAAAGGCTGTGTCACTCACCTGAAGCGTGGGGAGGCTCAACATCCAATTTTCTTTCTGAAATAAAATAGTATGAAATTTTTATGCATTTGCCTTTACAGTGTAAATACCACTGCACTGTGAAAAGAGGTACTGACAAATTGAAAAAGGACACAGGACATAATATCTTAACTAAATGTTTTGAAAACACTAGTGCATGATTTCGGGGACAAGAGATAAACCCAAAGTTAATAATAATAACCTGATTATAATGCACCTGGTCAGTTTCCCTTCGTGATTCATTTGAAAATTAGTAACAAAAAGCCGTATCCTCTCTGAGTGATTCCGGTTTGCATTTTCCAGGTCTGAGGACCTTTTCTTTTTTATTTCTCTCAGTACTGAGGCCCTCGGTTTAAATGCCAGTTTGAAATTTGCAGAGCCGCAACGAAAGTTGAACATCGGTCCAAACTTCAACGGGTGGATCTTTATTTCTTTTAGGTGGCAAGGATTTAAGCGTTAACTGTTAGAAGAATTGTAATGAGTCACTATTGGTTGTGGTATTGTGTAGTACCGATGCTCCGAGTAATTCACCATGGGGTGAGGGGGGCAGGTCACCAGTGCGGTCCCCCTTGTTTCAGGGACTCTGCTACGCTATATATTGTGCCTAATAGCGTCAATGCAAAGGATGGAGGGGAAGGATGCTGTCAGGGAACCGATATCAGGGCCAGGGGAGTCATAACATGCAGGGTTGACGGACAAATGTTTGTGTCTCACCCAGTCTTGGCTGTGGTTGTGGCGGTGATTGTTGCGCTGGTTCCTGCTGGGAAGGATGTCCGCTGCCAGACTGAGTCGTTTGTTGATCACCCCTCACTCCATCAGCCGGTAGTTGTTGGGTTGCAGCTGTGCTTGGACCAGGGTTAGTTTGTGTCTCACCCGGTCTTGGCTGTAGTTGTGGCAGTGGTTGTTGCGTTGGTTCCTGCTGGGAAGGTTGTTTGTTACCAGCCGGTAGTTGTTGGGTTGCAGCTGCCTGACTATCTTGTGCTGTGCTTGGACCAGGGTTAGTTTGTGTCTCACTTCGTCTTCGGGCTCTCTTAGCCGGTGGTTCTGCCATTTAGCGCTGATAATGTGGGCACAGTTTAGTTACAGACAGCTTCGGTAGTTCAACCCGGCATAATCCTGTGAGTGCAAAGTACAATCAGGTAAAATCACATAATGGATGCTGTTGGTCGGTCGGTCGGTCGGTCGGTCGGTCCATCGGTCAAACGGTTGGTCACTATGTCAGTTGGTCGATCAGTCGATCTGTCATTCAGTCGATTGTTTGGTCCGTGTTCTTATTGCAGTGCTCAGTTAAATATTACAAGCTACATGTATATAAGACAACAGGAAAAAGCTGCACTTAAATTTTTTCAATTGGCCAATTGTTAGGCCTACTCAATAAATATTGTTCTGATTCGAAAGACTTTACGCACTGGCAAGGGCATCAATCGCTTCTCAAAAGTGGGTGGGGGGGGGGACAAACCGGAAAATCTGAGGCAATTACTTGATGTTAACAAATTCGTTTCAGCAAAAGATTTTCATTTTCGAGTTTGGAGTAATTAAATCAGCTATTCTGAGCTATAAAATCAAATGCAGGCCTACAAGTTTTATTCGGGGACGAAAAAAGTGATGGGGTGGGGCAAATGATTTGATACCCCCACTTTAAAAAGTGGGGGGGGGGGGGGGGGGATGGGGGGATGGGGGGACATACATGTAACCGTGACTGCGCATGACCGCGCAGTAAATGTTCCAACAAGTCAGAAGTTAAAAGTGTCCATGAACACAAGGGGAGCTCCTGGAATTGAACGGGAAATTTCACTTTTCATCCGCATCGTAAGTTAACCACGTACCTCGATCTTAACCATCGATCTGTACTTGTATCTCAGGTTGTGTAGGGCCTATCTACATGTAGTTATTTTGTGACCACCACTCATCTATACCACCTTGTAGCCGGGTACACAGATACAAAGTCACGCTTGACTGCTCACCCACAATACGCGTGAACTTCCCACTCCGTATCCCTGTTTTTGCGTAGCCACTCCAGGTGACCTACTTTGGACTGTTTTTCATCTTTCCCATTCAATTGACGCAGTAAAGGGAGGATTTAAAAGGAGGATTTTTTTAAAGGGAAAATAGCGCCCTCTTGCGCCCCTCCCAACTCAAACCCACTCCATATCCGCGTAAAAAATATACTTTTAAAAAAAAATTGAAAATAAACATATACCAAAATTTGGGGAAAATATATGGCGGCTATTTACGATTTATGCAAATTATACATCCTTCCCAAAAGAATTGTAGGTGTCACTTCTTCTAAGTATCTTCTCTAGGGCTATAAGAATCAATCTGCCAAGTTTGGTGCTTTGGACCAGTTGGTCACGATCTTGTCAACAATTGGGAAATCCCTTTAGATTTGGGAGATTCTACTGACAAAATTTGACTCTGATGGTCTTTGCTCAGATCGACTCCAAATTGACACAGAATAAGGTCACATTTGCGTTGACAAGTGCCGTCATGGGCCATGTGACGTCATCGTAAATGTGCCTATTTTCATCATAAATGTGCAAGTCCTATAGAACTGTAGCATTAAAACTGTGCATGTCTATAGACTGGAATGTGTTAACTGTTATAGATGAAAATCGAGATGACGTTATGGTGCCATCATCATGTGATATTAGATAATTTCTGAAATTTTGAAGATTATCGCCATATTTCACCAACACAACATGCTTAATTCAAAATTCTTTTTGTAATAGGTTTGTTAGGTCATTGATATGAAAAACGTGTGATGCCATCATGAAAATGTGAATTTTTAAAACAAACATACGGGTAGGTCCAATCGTCATGAAACTTGGTGGAAGGCAGATAATAGTATGCAAAATTTGAAATGACGTGAAGATGACGTCATCAACTGATTTTAATAAATGTGAAACTTTTCTTTGTGGGTAATAGCAAAACTTTAAAGTATGAATTTAATACAAGAACATATCAATTACATGACTAGGCATTGCCATCACTTCACACTTTGCAATAAAGCAAAGTGTTATTTCTACACTTGTAAGCTAGCCTTAACCTCATCCAAAGCAACTGACAGTGTTCTTACCCCTATTAAGTTCCCAGTCAAATCACTTGAAGACAAAGTTTTTCTACTTTGATGTAAAGCGCACAAACAGTTGAGGCTTTTGACGGGGCTGATCTGGTAAAGATGGCGCTGGACAAACACAGCATCGTCATCAAGTCGCGTGACATGGTTTATATATAGAACTTGGGATTTTTGTTTTGCTGCATACATGTACGTCACACGTACCGGTACAGTCTGTTTATCTGTTTATCTGTGTACATACTGTATTTACTTGACACTTGAGTTTTAATTTGGACCTTAGATACAGATAGGTCCATGCACTGATTCTATCTACAGGTGACACTTGAGTTTTGGACCTTAGATAGGTTCATGCATTCTATCTACATTATGTACAAAATGCACTTTGTTAAATTTCAATGGCATACACCTCAGCATCCATTTAATTCCACTTTTGTATTTTAAACCCTCAAATAAATGCCCTATAATATTGTAAAAATCTTGCTTGAACCCTACACATGAATTGCAGTTTCTAGGGTTTGCCATAAATTCAAATGAAATGGAAGTCCGGCATCCTATTGAACCAATTGTGAGGTTATGTCATTCCTTAGTTACCCAAACATGGCCGACTGTGCAGTTTGTCGCTCAAGTAATTTGGAAACTGGTTCCTTGCTTTCCAGGAGTACAATTGGGTCCCTTGTCTTACAGGAACCTTGAAAACAGTATTAGATGCAGCACTTAAGGAAAACGGAGGAATTTTCACACCAAAATGTCATTGATAAAGAAGCAAGAATTGAATTAAAATGCAGTGGTGGGTTTCCAGTTTGCCCTCTGCATCTCGTTATATTTTGCCTCAAGTGAGCAACTTGCAGATTTATAGAAACGGATGCATCCAATAGTGCATGGGGAGCCTAATGCCTCGCAATTAATCTTAAAACTAATGGAAGATGGACTGCAAATGAAACCAATTTCATATCAATTACTGTACCTTGAGCTGTTTTCTAGTATGGCCTTTGTTCATTTGTATCGCATGTTGAAGGTAAACCCATATCCGTATCAATGGATAAGACCACTGCAGTAGCGTGTATATAAATCATATGGGTGGATGCCATTCATTGGAACTAAATCAGTTGACTGAGAGAATATGGCTGTGGTGTGTAGAACATGACTATGGTTAATTTCACATCATATTCCGAGTGTCAATAACACCATGGCTGATTCCTTATCACAGTCATTTAATGACAATCATGAGAGGCAACTCAACCCTCATGTGTTTTGCCACATTATGTTGTTTTGAGATTTTAAACCGACCATAGATCCGTTTGCTTCTAGAATAAACTGCCAAATCAAATCTTTTGTATCTTATTAGCTGCCAGTTCCACAGGCAGGAACTTGCAATGCCTTTCAGTGCCATGGGAAAATGAACTGATTTATTGTTTTCCGCCATTTTCTCTAATCGACAGAGTCTTACAGAAGATAGAAATAGACAGGAGTGCTCATCCTCCCCTTCTGGAAACACAGCATTGGTTTCCACGGCTACTACGTCTATTGACAACAGAGCCAGTTGTACTACCCAAGACCAAGACACTTCTGCGTCTACCTCACGACCCACAGCGTCAACATCCACTAGCAACCAGCCTAGTGCTGTGTGTGGCACACTTGTCAGGAGTCCTCTCATTGCGAAAGGACTTTCAGAGGAAACAATCAAGATTATCATACACTCCTGGAGAATCAGAACACGTAAACCGAACAGTTCAGCATAATGCAATAATTCCTGGATCCACCCCTGCTGCGTTACCAATAACAAGTGTGAGTGCAAGCTCTGGCAACAAATGTGACCATACATTTGGTCAATTTTGATATTTCCTCCTTCTGGACACTGTCCAACCGCTACACAAAATACCACGTGACTATAGCATTACTGCACATACTTTGCCTTCATTTACAAACTTTTTTTATAAACATCTTTCCAAATTGTTACAAACAATTTTTGTTAAGTATTTTATTTGCCTTTTCATTTCATTTCAGGTTGGTAGTTATTTTTTTATGGGAAACTTAGGGGGCTTATTTTGATCAATTTTCGGGGACAGACATAATGCAAAATAAACATGCATGCACATTGATTGAAACAAAACCGGTGTTCCGAAAACTTTTGGCAAGAGTGCATTTTATGACCACGGCATGGCATTTGGTCAATTAGTCAATTTGTTTTGGTCAAATTTTTTTGGGTCAATTTTCGGGGACAGACTGACCGACCGAAAGACAGACAGACAGACAGACTGACCAACCACCAAGTGACATGTAGAAGCTCCTGCCAGAGCTTAAAAAACTTACTAGCAAACCAACAGAATGTTAATTTGTTGATCTCTTTTTGTAGTTTATGGTCATTTCATGGCAAGGGATCTTCTGTGAGAGAATCCACCCTACACAATGCAGGGTTTTTAAATTTGCCATCAGTGTTCTTTTCTTGTAATGTGGGTTACCGATAAAAAAGTAATTGGCAAGTAAAAGTATGACAGACTGACAAATAAACCTAAGGAAAGTTAAAAACAAAGTAATTTTCCTACCTACCAACCTGGATAATTGTTAGGATGTTACTGTTAGATTTTCTATTGTTCCTCTTTGCTTTTCCTTTGTTTATTCCCCTAACTTTTTTGGAACAGCTCCCACTCGTTTTGTACACGTTTTCTAATTGAGGTCATCCTCGATTTTGGTTCCTGTCCTCAATTCATCAATGATGTTGCACGTGTGTCCTCGATTTACACCAGAAAGTTTATGGCATAAACACACAAATATTTTCAGCCTAAGTGAACCTACCATGATACAGGTCTTGACACACATCCATGGCTTGGCCGGTGTCAATTCTTGCTGTCCTCTTTGGAAGTTTGTGGCCATGAACTTCCTGTATGCATCTTCATTGGTCTCTGCAAGCTCATCCAGCATTGACCAAAAGCACTGTGCCTGCTTCATCAGGTCATGTTGGACGCCTGTCACCATACTAAAATTGGAAAAGACAGGAGGACAATTTTGAAAATGGCGTCTGCACGATATTCGCAATGGAGCCCTTGCTGATAAATGGTAAATTTCACTTTTCATACAGATTGTAAGTAAAGCTTAGTATCTCGATCTTAAATCATAAATCTGTAATTGTATCTCAGGGGGCGTAGGCCTATGTAGTAATTCTGTGGCCGTATTGAGGGTGAAATCTGATGTTTTTGTTGGCAAATGGTTGGGTTGTTAATTATTTGAAACGCCATGTTAGTACTATCACCAGATCATGTCCAAATGTTAAAAATAATGCAGGGGCTATACTGTCACTGTTGCGGCAATTGCTATCGTTACAGCATTGTCTGGCTCCCTGGCCTAATAGTAAATGTCCTTCGTACAACTGCATGTGCGCACATCACATGACAAGGATTAGGGTCTGTGGATGGACAGTTCGCCACACGCATGTAAAATCATAGCGGGGTACCAATGAAATCAAAGTAAAGTTCTTGTTTTGAAGTAGATGCAAAATGTTGCTTGTTTAACCACACCATGGTTTAAGATGGTTTGTATTGATCATGTGTATCTGTGTATGCTCCAACTTTTGTGCAAAAAAAATTCCATCTTCTTTTTTACTACTGTACACTATCAGGAAAGAATTCCATTGTACATACATGTATGGATTTATCTAATTTTAATAGGAACAGGGTCCTGAAGATAACGATGATTACCGAGACTACTGACTAATACTAAAAATAAAATTCAGACTTTATTTCCCTTTAAAAAAAATCCTCCAAAGCCTCAGGTTAGAAAAGGAAAACAATTGGAGTGCAAAACTGAGATGCGAACCCACGACCTCGCGGTGCAAAATCCTAGGCCTACTCTGTATCGACTTAGCTCTACTGAGTGGAGCGTTGAATTATGGGTACCCCTCCATACAAACGCTCCACCGATTTGCCATACTTTGGTGACGGCGTCACAGTAGCATAGTCACAAACCCACGCGAGGACAAAAAGACCCCCCCCCAAAAACCGGTAAAGAGAATACAAATGAGAGAGACAGTTACCCTGGATTGATCTACACATTCATGACATTCCTTCAGACCCCTTACATTGTTCCCAAACAGCGAAAATTTTGAAGAAAAACAGCAAAATAGTCTGAAAACTTACAGCTCAATGTGTTGTGTTCGCCGTGAGGCTCAATCCTTGCACCGGTTTGCCGAATGAGGGCGTCTGACGTGACGTCACCGTCGTTGCTTGATCGAAGAAAAACAAGTCGAGCTTTATCAACGACTGTGTAATAATAATACGTGCTCCGATCCGCGCCGTACGACAGTATGGGCTTTAAACACGCAAGGTGGAGACGGCTGAAATGTATTTTAATAACAATGGGATTTTCATTTGTCAGTAGGCCTATTAGCATGGAGGAAGGAATTAGTAGTTCTTTGATACAAGTTTCATGTGGGTATCTGACGTCATTAATTTGTTTTTAATTTAGAACGTGTACGCTTCAGCCGTGGGTTTGTGACTATGCTACTGTGATGCCGTCACCAAAGTAAGCCAAATCGGTGGAGCGTTTGTATGTAGGGGTACCCGTAATTTAACGCTCCACTCAGTAGAGCTACTAGTCGACTGAGCTGTCGCACTGCTCGCTAAAACGTGGGAAAACAGATAATTAAATATCTGCGTGCGTATCAATAAAGTATCGTAGAGGGCGCTAAACAACGGCTGCCGTAACGATAGCCACTTCGGATTTTCAAAGTATTCAGGTAGGCCTAGTTTTAGGCCCTATTTGTTCACCAAATTGGAAATGATTCTCAGTCCCAGATAGATTCATGTCTTTTAAACACTTTTGCAATGACTGACCTTTATTGAGATGATATATGAAGAAAATGTGGCGTCAAGTTGCAACGTCTCTCCAAAAACGTTCCCTTTCTTGCTGAACTTTCATATCTGGAGTTACTGATCTCGATTAGTTTCACCTGCAACTGCAAATATACTTTTGTTTACGAATCGACCAAGTTGACAGGCGCCCTCTCTAGTTGGACGTGGAAATCTTACGTTCTGAGGGCGCCCTTCTCAATTAACGGTAGGTTACGGGTGCAACGGGTGTCGGACGCTTCGCCCCATTTCCACGTCGCCCCATGTCACTTCGCCCCTAACCACTTCGCCCCATCCCCACTTCGCCCCATCCCCACATCGCCCCATCTCCGCTTCGCCCCATCCCCACTTCGCCCCATCCCCGCTTCGCCCCATCCCCACTTCGCCCCATCCCCACTTCGCCCCATGTAGTATAAAAAAGGGAAGGCTAGGGGTGCAGACCAAATAAACTGCCAAAGACCCCAGATAATAAATGCTCCCAATTCTAGAAACTCAGGAAAAATACAAACTCTCTGATGAGGTGCTCGAGACACAGATGAGAGAAATGATGGCTTAAATAAAATCATCAGCCGCTGGATTCAAAAGAATCCCGTAGGTATGGGTCAGTGAGTTCAAAGGAACTCACTGCCTTGAGGAAAATGTTCCGTCAAAATTTGTCTGATATGTGAGACTTACAACTTCATTGATGAGATTGGTTCCTCCAAGAGTGAAATTAGGATGTCAAAGGTATTGTCGTTCTGGTATCAGGTCAACTCGGACCCAAACCAAGTCGGACCCATGCCAAGTCGGACCCATGCCAACTCGGACCCACGCCAACTCGGACCCACTACCAACTCGGACCCACTACCAACTCGGAACCACTACCAACTCGGACCCACTACCAACTCGGACCCACGACCAACTCGGACCTACTACCAACTCGGACCCAAGCACGACCAACTCGGACCCAACAATGACTCAATCATTAGTTTCAGAGATTATATTTATAGGTGATCTTAATGTCAGTGCTTATATAGTGAAGATATTCTGTAACTACATTGGGCAGAAATGGGGCTTTTAGTTTTGTTGTGGAGCTGTGTGGAGCGCTGTTTTATGATGCGTACAGTAAATACTGTTGCTAAACGCTTATCGTTTTGAACGTCACTAAACGTGCTTAGCTTTTTGAAACCGTGACCTGTGAAGCTAAACCAAGAGGTATTAATAGCGTATAGTATAGGTTAGGCATATCGTATGTCATTTGTACAACTTGATATATACGTGCTTTTTCAAAATCTCGATTTTCTTTTCCGAACGAAATTCAAAGGATTATAATTTTCAGTAAAAAATAAATTACTTGTTTGTTTTTGCAGGCCTTTGTGTCGTGTAACAAGTGGTTTTTAAGTGGCACATTTTGTTTCAGTGAGGAAGTTATTAATTTGAAATAACTATTTAGGCCTTTCATTTCATGTAATTGTTTGGGTTTTTTTAATTCACATGCTGGCTTTGAATTTTGTGGGATTTTTTTATGAATCTGTTTAACTTTTAATAATTTTTTGATTTAACTTTTTTCCCCCATGGAACATCATAGTGGAACATACAGGCAGCTACCTGTAAGGCCTTGAAGGATAATCTTCCCAGAGCTCCAATACTCCTTTTTGATGATTGACATTGCATCTATTTGTAGGGGATTAAACTTGATCATTTTTTAATTCACATGCTGGCTTTGAATTTTGTGGGGTTTTTTTACGAATCCGATTAACTTTTTATACTTTTTTGATTTAACTTTTTTGTTTAATATGGAACCTTCGTTTTTCTTGCAGTGTATGCAATGGTGTTTATGTGGGGTTTTTTTAAAATAGAGATTAGAATAGACTTCGTTTTTATGTCTTATTTATTTTATTGATTGATTTCTAATGTTTACTTATATTTATTGAGTTAATAATGTTATGTTTGAAAGTGTTTATGTTTTAATGCCATACTTTCCAATTTTTTTCTATGAAGATCTGTTCTTAATTTGTATACTCGATACGTTGAAGTTTGGAGTAAAAATGAAATAAATTGCTGTTAAATTTAGCAAGATGGTGTGAACGATGTCAATTAATATGTTTGAATGAAAATAAATAATTGGTTAAACTTTTAAAGCATAATATGTTTTAATGGAAACAAATACAAATAATAAATAATTAATTACACTTTTAAAAGCGCATTTCAAAATAGCATTTTAATGCACTTTACAACGACAAAAATGTATACTGCTGCAATACAGATATGAGATAATTTACCTTACAATTACAATGAAAATTTATACTAAACAGCATCACTGTAATAACAGATGAGAAGTGGACAAACTTTATGAAATGAATGATTGAAAACGATGTCGAATGATTGAAAATGATGGGTCCGAGTTGGTCATGCATGGGTCCGAGTTGGTAGTGGGTCCGAGTTGGTTGTGGGTCCGAGTTGGTAGTGGGTCCGAGTTGGTCGTGGGTCCGAGTTGGTAGTGGGTCCGAGTTGGCATGGGTCCGAGTTGGTAGTGGGTCCGAGTTGGCATGGGTCCGAGTTGACTTGGGTCCGAGTTGGTTTGGGTCCGAGTTGGATCGAAACCGTTCTTCAGGTCAACTCGGACCCAAACCAAGTCGGACCCATGCCAAGTCGGACCCATGCCAACTCGGACCCACGCCAACTCGGACCCACTACCAACTCGGACCCACTACCAACTCGGAACCACTACCAACTCGGACCCACTACCAACTCGGACCCACGACCAACTCGGACCTACTACCAACTCGGACCCAAGCACGACCAACTCGGACCCAACAATGACTCAATCATTAGTTTCAGAGATTATATTTATAGGTGATCTTAATGTCAGTGCTTATATAGTGAAGATATTCTGTAACTACATTGGGCAGAAATGGGGCTTTTAGTTTTGTTGTGGAGCTGTGTGGAGCGCTGTTTTATGATGCGTACAGTAAATACTGTTGCTAAACGCTTATCGTTTTGAACGTCACTAAACGTGCTTAGCTTTTTGAAACCGTGACCTGTGAAGCTAAACCAAGAGGTATTAATAGCGTATAGTATAGGTTAGGCATATCGTATGTCATTTGTACAACTTGATATATACGTGCTTTTTCAAAATCTCGATTTTCTTTTCCGAACGAAATTCAAAGGATTATAATTTTCAGTAAAAAATAAATTACTTGTTTGTTTTTGCAGGCCTTTGTGTCGTGTAACAAGTGGTTTTTAAGTGGCACATTTTGTTTCAGTGAGGAAGTTATTAATTTGAAATAACTATTTAGGCCTTTCATTTCATGTAATTGTTTGGGTTTTTTTAATTCACATGCTGGCTTTGAATTTTGTGGGATTTTTTTATGAATCTGTTTAACTTTTAATAATTTTTTGATTTAACTTTTTTCCCCCATGGAACATCATAGTGGAACATACAGGCAGCTACCTGTAAGGCCTTGAAGGATAATCTTCCCAGAGCTCCAATACTCCTTTTTGATGATTGACATTGCATCTATTTGTAGGGGATTAAACTTGATCATTTTTTAATTCACATGCTGGCTTTGAATTTTGTGGGGTTTTTTTACGAATCCGATTAACTTTTTATACTTTTTTGATTTAACTTTTTTGTTTAATATGGAACCTTCGTTTTTCTTGCAGTGTATGCAATGGTGTTTATGTGGGGTTTTTTTAAAATAGAGATTAGAATAGACTTCGTTTTTATGTCTTATTTATTTTATTGATTGATTTCTAATGTTTACTTATATTTATTGAGTTAATAATGTTATGTTTGAGTTGGATCGAAACCGTTCTGGTATCAGGTCAACTCGGACCCAAACCAAGTCGGACCCATGCCAAGTCGGACCCATGCCAACTCGGACCCACGCCAACTCGGACCCACTACCAACTCGGACCCACTACCAACTCGGAACCACTACCAACTCGGACCCACTACCAACTCGGACCCACGACCAACTCGGACCTACTACCAACTCGGACCCAAGCACGACCAACTCGGACCCAACAATGACTCAATCATTAGTTTCAGAGATTATATTTATAGGTGATCTTAATGTCAGTGCTTATATAGTGAAGATATTCTGTAACTACATTGGGCAGAAATGGGGCTTTTAGTTTTGTTGTGGAGCTGTGTGGAGCGCTGTTTTATGATGCGTACAGTAAATACTGTTGCTAAACGCTTATCGTTTTGAACGTCACTAAACGTGCTTAGCTTTTTGAAACCGTGACCTGTGAAGCTAAACCAAGAGGTATTAATAGCGTATAGTATAGGTTAGGCATATCGTATGTCATTTGTACAACTTGATATATACGTGCTTTTTCAAAATCTCGATTTTCTTTTCCGAACGA